AACTAATGAGATACTTTCATTTTCTGATTATGCAGGAATTAGTTTCAAAGAGGCGTTGAGTTTAATAATTATGCGGCAATCATTTTCTGATTATGCGGGAATCAATACCAACACTTTTAACAAAAAGTTTACCAAACACCAAACTGCTTTCTTTCATAGCTGATTTCTCTCACAGCAAATCTAATATCAATCATTTTCACAGCACATCAATGCCAAACTAGCCCTTAAACGTTTTCTATTACCTGTTCAATTCTGTAACTGTAGGTAAATTGGACCAACTATTTTTCTCAAGAACTATATTGAAAACAGGTTTGCATTTTTCAAGAATAAAGTGTTGTAGTTTGTCCTCAGTCAAGAGTCATGAATATCATCATATCCTAGCAAGAACTATATTGAAAACATGAACTTTATATATCTACATTTATCATGAATATCATCATATCCTAGCAAAAACAGAATGGCCTCAGTCAAGAGTCAAGATCAACACCTAAGGAAAAAGAGTCGCCTCTCAGCCTCAGTCAAATTTCCAGATTCTGATGTACTTGCTGTTGTGTGTGGTGATAACCTTCTTCATCCCTACAGCCAAGCACGTAATGGGAGGTCGACAGCTTCTGAGAATGCTGTCAATGGCGGTATCTTCTGAAAGCCTTCTTCCCCTCGTTCTTTGTGTAGCCCCAAGTGTGTTTTGTGAACTTGGTGATAAATAACCGTCCAAGATGCATCTTGAAATTACTTCACCTGTGTTCTGATTCAGTAGACGTAGCACACCGTCTATTCCACCAACAGCCAAAGTTGATGCATCATTTCTCTGGTGTTGCATTGAATATACACTATTTTGACTCACTCGTGTCTTCCACAAAAGTCCCATCCTGAATTACATAACGGAAAACATGGTCAATCAACTACAACTGGATTACATCATCTGTTACTGTCAAAGGAGTGAGATCCAAGGGTGGAGGTGGCGCCAACTAGGACAGAAAGAGTCAGGCTGACCCATTTTTGCGGTTTTGTATACTACTTGTATGATTTCAAAACAATCATATAAAAATTATGGATTCTATTAGGAGTAGTTCACTCCAAGAGAACCCTAAACGACTGTAAAGAAAGTGAAGATTCGAAAACCATAAAATGAATGAATTGGTCCCTATTGAGAAGCCGATTACAACGGATGGGCAATACTGACCACATTGACAAACACTGAACACGATTCATGAGAGGTACATGAACATCACAAATTGAAAGTTACCTCCTACAATTCTATTACAAATGTTGTTCTGTAAGAAGCTATTAGGCTTGACTTTTCTTTTCAGAGATTTAAAGTAATGCAAACCTAGTATTTAAAATTGTAATGATGTGGAAATATGGAAACAGATAACATATATTTCATCAGAAATTAGAAAGCTAAAGTATGAAATAGGTTTACCCAGGTAAGTTGAGATTCTTGAAATAACATATGAAGTCATATTCCATACCTTAGGTCCCAACAAAATCCATATCCAGTAGCGGTTCCAGCAAATACTTGGTGAGAGCATGGGTTGAAACATAAAGTCTTTATGCCTGCCATGAAAAGTTTAAACTAGATTTATGCTCTCATGAATATAACTTACCACTCCATGAAAGAGGATTAATAAAACCCATACATATATTACTTAGCATATATTATATGTCCCAACAGAGCCAACATTTCCAAACAACTGCAATGAGATCTCTTTCATTTCTCTTTCACATGAATACAATTCATTCAACAAGAACATAAGGGTACAACTAAGACTACATCCAGCCAGTTATCAAGCACAAACAAATGTTAGAGAGTACAATTATGGCTTCTAGTTGATCCCATTTGCAGCCCACAAGTACTCACAAAAAAGAAAACAGAGAGTACTCTATTCATTTAGAAGTTCGGATTTCAACTCTCTCTCTCTCTCTCTCTCTCTAACAAAACAAAAAATCAACTCCAGACAGAAGACAAAATTACCGTCGATGTTATGGACATAAAAAG